TGATTGGTCAATCAGCTATGGTTTATTGTGCCAGTAAACTCATGGAAATTTCGCGTGTCTTCTGAATTATTATATAAAAGCAATAGACCACAAGTTTCTCTGGATTATAGGGCTGTGACTAAAAGTGGGACGGGGAATTGGGGACTGGGACGTGGGACGTGGGACGTGGGACTTGGGACTTGGGGACGTGGGGACGTGGGGACGTGGGCACGCGGGGACGCGGGGACGCGAGGACGCGGGGAGGCGAGGACACAGGGACGCGGCGACGTGGGGACGTGGGGACGCGGGGACGCGGGGAGTCGGGGATATGGGTCGCGAGGACGTCGGGACTCGGGGACGCGCGGGGACTCGAGGACGTGGGACGTAGGGCTCGTGTTCCAGGGAAATCTATAAGACCAATTTTTTTCGCAGCGGTAAAAGACATAATTTGCAAAAAATAAAAAAATAAAAACCTGCCTTTACAAACCCTACTTTTTTCGAGTTTAAAATTCGTATCCCGCAGGATGTGATGTCCTGTGAAAACTTTGGAAGATTTCACTCAAGGAAATTCAAGAAAATCACAAATGAAGCCATAAAAGAGTAAAAGACACATTTGGTTGGCCAAATTATAAGTCAAGTCTAAAACCCATGACTTTAATTGAGATAATAGTAAGACAATATTTACATGTAATCATTGCTTATTACATGTAATAAGTTTGAGAGGACTGGGTGTAAAAACGAATTCAAAAACGGTATTCAAAACATAAACGATTAAATGATTACCCTATGGAGCCACCTTAAACCTCGTGGGCAGCCATGGAGGACTTTCCTGGTAAGTAACTGCGTTTTCTTGTCAATCCTTGAACATCCGTGCCGTATCCTTGCTAATTTTGACGCTGATGTTTACTTCATGAAAACCGTTGGTCCTCAAGTCCCCGCGCGTCCCCGAATCCCGACGTCCTCGCGTCCCACGTCCCCGAGTCCCCGCGTCCCCGCGTCCCCACGTCCCCGAGTCCCCGAGTCCCCGCGTCCTCGAGTCCCCGCGTCCCTGCGTCCCCGAGTCCCCACGTCCCCGCTTCCCCGCTTCCCCACGTCCCCGAGTCCCAAGTCCCAAGTCCTACGTCCCAGTCCCCGCGTCCCCGTCCCACTTTTAGTCACAGCCGGTTTATAGGCTGATAAACCACTTGGAATGTTGTAAGAACACTCGAAGAATTCGTTAATCACTCGCCTGCGGCTCGTGATTTACGAATTCTCTATGCTTAAACCAGCAAGCTTTTTGTTTTCGTTTGAAAATTGTAAAAATGATTCCTTTTGATTAGTTGTTGTACGAGTTATCTTTCCTCAAGTAAGCCCTGTCAGGTGTCAGTCGGTGTCAGATTACAATACAGTTCTGGGGTACAAAAGTATTTTTGGACTTTAAGCTTTCTAAAAATGAATACTATGCTATGGTTTGGAATTAAATCTTAGCCACGGAAAAAGATTTTAAATTTGGTGTGTTTTTAGGTTTAGTCCCACCTTAAGACAATCACAAAATTATTTGCGGTACGTTGCTTATTTTAATTTTTTCTTGTAAAACCAGAACAGTTTTGAGGGTCCAACATAGGTTTTTAAAATCCCGCATCCCGCCACTATTTTTGGTTCAACCCCACTATCCCGCTCCAGTCAGAATATTTATCTCGATCCCGCTTGGTTAGAGTCGCAGATCTTCATGTAACGCCTTTAACGTATGATTTTCCGTTTTTCATCATCCCTAAACCCGCCGACAATTTTAAGACTATCCCGCATCCCGTTTGACAAAATGAGCAAATCCCGTTCTCGCCTTCTTTTTTACCCTCATCCCGCATCCGGTCAAACCTATGTTGGGCCCTCAGATCTGTCCAGCGTACTATTTTTTCTTGTAAATAAAAGTCATCGGCAAGAGAAGAGCAATGTTAGCACATTTATTTGACTTCTAATCGTTAACCTTATATAGTTGTACGCTGATCAGAATCTACAAACTCTCTCTGGAAACGTAAATGAAAGTGAGTTTGTCCTCTTGTTTTTCACAGGGTTAACGGGTTCGTCAGAACGTCGAAGGATAACTTAGCCAGCTTTGAGCTCACGGCTTCCCGTTTTCTTTTCTTTTTTTTCCAATTTTATTTTCAGAGACTACCTCTGGTAGAGTTGCTAAAACCAGTTTCAATATTAGTGTAACACTGATCTTTGTGTATGTGAAACGACCGCTGGAAACTGCAGAGAATTGTAAAACGCGTTCTCTAATACGAAAGTTAACAGGTTGCTACCCTCGACACGCTTTTGTTTATAGAGAACATGAAAGGCGAAACAATTATCCAGAGATACTACAAGCAAATAGCTATATATGGGAGTGAAAATTAAATATCATGAGCCTTTCCGAGACTAAACTAACGGGAGTTAGCAAATTCCTTATACTACTGACTATCAATACGATGTGTTCGACTTGTTAAACTTGTTCAAAAAAACTAGCTGTACCTCCATTCATTCTTATCACTTACATCATCCTCGCTTTCTCAGTCACTGTCATGGAAACTGCTTAAAAAAATTCGATATCAACTTAACATTTGCGCCATCGCCAGGCGCTGTTTAATTACAAGATTAAGGGGTTTGTCAGGCCATTGGAGGCCTTTTTTAAAAATTAAATTTGGAATGGAAGGGAACGGATTTTCATCTCTGTCCGCGCAGCGTCCTCGAGGTAGTTCTCGCGTGTGCCACACGCAATGGCGCAATTTGCTTTAAAAGTAGCAAACTTCATGCTAAGGGGTCTATCTCCTCCATCAAAATGCTACTTTGTTACGGTTTCCGTCCCCGATTATGGCTTCTGCTTTCGGTCGACTTTTAAGGTATTCCAAGATTCTTGTGATTTTCCTTCTGACTCGAACTAGCACTTGAACAAGGCGAACATTTCAGATAGTCTAAATTAACTTTGTCAACTTTAACATAATGTCCTACTGCAATCAAATTTGTTTATTTCTTTCGCTTATAATAGTCAATGACGTTGCATCCCAAAATTTCCATTGGGTCTATTTGATTTATTTTTCTTTCCTATTTGCTGTTTTAATTAACGATGGAGTCAAAAGTTACATTTTTTCAATTATCCAGCTTTTATTTATCCTCTTGTTACAACAAGTTTCTTTTGTTAATTGTACACATTTACGCATTTAATTACCCACCTTTACTCATTACCCGCGTTTATTGAATAACTTCAACAGCCCTTATTTTGCCAGCTAATCGTTTTGTTACTAAGTTAAGGCTGTGATTCCATTGATGAGACATCATTACCGCCATCATTTTCTGGAAAAAGAAAAGCGAAACTTGTAATCATCCAGGGTTATACACCAGTGCCATGTAACTCCACTTAACCAAGGACCCACGTTACGTTGGAATTAATTCACTGGCGTCCTAATGCGCATAACAAGCAATTTGCGTGGCAACATGAGAACGAGGCTTTTAAAAATTCAGCCCTATTTTCACTTTTTCGTGACTTGTTGAATACGTTTTCTACGCCAACTGGGCGCGTGCAAATACTGGCATGGTAACCGATGATCTTAAAAGCAGAATGTATTTTTATTTTTTTCATGAGGATGCTTGGTTTTGCAATTGGAGATCATTGTATCCTAGTGACGGTACGTTGATCAGTGAGCGGTGTAGATCGCCAAAATTTAAACAGTTTCTTGTGAATCATATAAATTGATTCTTGGGTCCATATACATTTAATACGTTTTTTTTAACGTTACAACAAAAATGGCAACGTAGTTAAAGGTTGTCTCGTGCCACTTTTTGGTTTTGCAATATATTTTACTACACTCGCGGGTGGGGGTGCGGAGAGCTTTGTAAAGTATTTAGCAAACTTTTTGGGTCGCCGATGCACACCATTCCAACCGAAAAAAAAAGAAGAGTATAAAAAAAGAGAGCGAAAATTTTACTGACGGTTTATAATTACATCAGCGTCAATGCTAACTAGATATATTTACTAAACTCAGACCTAGTCGACGACCGCAACACCCCCTGGAGCATGGAAGGTACGGAAAGATACACGGCGACATAGATCTCTCGCCAACATCCTCACGGGCTGTAAACAAGAAAAGAT